CCTTTATGCTGTCACTTACTTCTCTGGACATCAGTTTCCTCCTCTGTAAAAAAGGGACTAGTCTAAATAATCTGACTTCTCTGAATTATTTTCCAGTTTCACACCTCTTTATTTCAGTGTCCAACTCCTTTGTGAAGAAAATAAGAAAAACAAAATAAAATAGTCAATTAAACTAGCTTGCTATCATTGAGACAGAACTATCTTTCACTTTACCACTCAACAACAGTTATAAGTATTTTTATTTAAAATTTGAGAAAAATTCTATAAACATCAGCAAATTCCAAAGCATGTAATCAGGAAATTCTACTTTACATAGTTAACTCACTTTTTCTAGAAATTTAATTTTGTACCTAACTAATCGCTGTCAATTGATCATTTAAAAGTAAAATGCATAGGAAGTAAATGAACAATACAGACAAAATTCTGATTAACAGATTAATTTGGCAGTCTTAAAGTTTACTGTTTGAGTTAATGTTTTACCATCTCAGACTCTAGCAAAGGCCCCAATATGACACTGTGCGTCTAAGATGTTAACAAGTCTGGTGTTGGGGTAGCTCTCTCTGAAGAACTGTTGTATGAAAACTTTTCAGCAATCCCCATCCTCAAACAACTTCATTCAGTCTCAGATATGTGATTATTTGGACAGCTCTCTCTTGCCTTCATTCCATTTTTCTCCCCTCTTATCGATTAGTTTAAAATCATTTCTTAACTATAACAGTTATCATTTTTTCCAACTACCAGATTTACTCACAAAATCTCACATTACCTCTATTTTTAACCTTACTGATATAAATGTTTTTAGCTCCAAATGTTTAGGATCACTATCATTACCTTCAGGACATTCTACCTTATAAACATCTACTTTCCTCAAGATTTACCTAAGTCTGGACTTGGATGGGACAGGCAAGCAATGGTAGCCATGGAGCTCATGGGACCACATTTCCTGGATTTAAATGTTCATTCCTGTTGTTTCCACCGTGAGTATTTCTCAGATTATATGAGACAAATTTACAATTTGGGAAATATGATGACCATGACCACATGGCTCTCATTGTGTCTTCTGAATTAGCACAGATGATAAAATTTGTCTTTAGAAAGTTTTTTTTTTTGAGACAGAGTCTCACTCTGTTGCCCAGGCTAGAGTGCCGTGGCGTCAGCCTA